GATCATTTCAGAAGGTTAAAACTTATATTTCTAGAGAGAGGGAGCATCATAGAGTGAGAGGGGAATTTCCTAAGCTTATCATTCATCAATTCTTGCTCAAAGTTGAGGAATTTACAAGAAGAACTCACTAGGTCTTCATCCTAGAGGTAAGATTTTACTCCCTAGCCCTCAATTCCGGGATTTAGTTGGAAGTAGGTAATGAGTAAGGAAATTCTTGGGGATGGGAGTTATTCATTATGCATGCATGTACCATCAAGGGTAGTGGGAAGATTGTTGAGCTTATTTGGGTAATCTTTGGGTAATGTGATGAAAGAATCCACTATAGGAGGACCTTGAAACCTTAATGCACACCTAGTGTTTGATAAAATGCTCAAATGAGCTGAAACCATGAATATCTTCCTAAATTGTGTTCAATTTTGCTATGTCTCTAAATAGATCGAAGTTGCTAGGATTTTCGGAACTATGTAGTGAATTAAGGAAAGCTCAAAGTGAGGTATGAAGGCTAAACTCTTCTTCTAGTATAGGAATTCCCGAATCCTTGTGAAATTCTATCATGTGTAGTCGAACTTGAAATGATATTGATGTGGGGTATTCAAACTAGTAAAATTGATTCTTGATTAGCATAACGTGTTAGAACCCTCGTGTATTAATGACTCTTTATTTTTGACTTAATTATGTTATACCCCTTTTGGGAAGAAGATCTTGTATGAAATCAATGTGATTAAACACTTGTTTCTCACATGATAAAACCTTATGAACTTACACTTGCTAAGGCCAAAGGTGCCAAATGGTTGATTTAAAAGGGAACTCTTTTGTACAAACTATTATTGTCTTGGGAATCCGAAATCTGGCATTGTGAATACACCTCCGCCCGCATACATTGGAGTGAGGCGGAGGAGCCGCTTTGTGTAGAGTTGTGGTATTGTGAATACACCTTCACCCGCATACATTGGGGTGAGGCGGCATGACCGCTTTGTATAGAGTTGTGGAATATTGAATACACCTCCACCCGCATATATTGGGGTGAGGCGGCATGACCGCTTTGTATAGAGTTGTGGAATATTGAATACACCTCCACCCGCATATATTGGGGTGAGGCGGTGGGGCCGCTTTGTGTAGTGTTTCTGGTATTGTGATTGCACCTCCACCCATATACATTGGGGTGGGCGGCAGGGCTGCTTTGTGTAGAGGTAGTCGTAGAAGATCCCCGACTTATGAATTTATAAATGTTATTGAAAGATCTTAATAGATTTTCTATGGAATTAACAGCTAACTAAGTCTTTTATTGTTACCATGATTCATCATATTCATGTTGTATTTCCAAGTTTTTGTATAGGTGTTTGGTTTTCCTACTACTATTTGACATGTATTAACACCCTTTTATGTCGAGGGCGTTGCATCTTTAATGGATGCAGGCGGTTCCATACCAGGTGGCATTGACCAGTGATAGCAGTACACCCTCTCCTCAACTAACTTGGTGAGCCCCATTTCATTCCAGGGTCCTGTATCTCTTGTTCCATGTACATAGTGTTTTGAGGTATAGCCAGGGCCTTGTTGATGGCACTGTCGTAGCACTCTTTTATTTATGTTAGAGGCTCCGTAAACATAGTGTGGATTGTATTATGTTTTGGGAAGATTGAACTAAACTCGTTGTAATTGTATCATCTGTCCCACTTTAACTATGAATGTATAGTGTACTGTTTTGGGGACTTATTAATGACGTAACTAATGGAAGTTAATTAATGTTATTCACATGAACTCTTAATGTTTAATTAATGATATAAACGTATCTTCTCTTTATTCATGGGCGAGTTGGGTAGAAGGTATTGTACATGCTTGCTCGGTCGGGGTATATCGGTTGAGTGCCTGTCACGCGCCTTGAGGTAGGGGCGTGACAAGAAACCAAGATTTAGCTTAATATAACTTGATTAAAATTTGACGATTTTTTGTGAAACTATTGATGTGCTAAATTCGGTCATCACTATGCTTAATCACTAATACATCGATACGACCGTTATTCTTGAGATATTGAATTCTATACTTGAGTTGAAGATCATTTTTGAGACTTTTTGAAATACTTGAACAATAAGTTTCTTGAGGTTTATTAAATTTTTATTGGCTTGAAAGTTGTGATTGATATTCATTTGGAATATTCGTTTAATCATTCTCCTTGATGTTATTCATGCTTCCTAGCATGCTTGTTATTGATATACATGTGCTTGGTGAGGAAGAGTGTAAAGCACTAAGGGTGATGTCGTGCCATTGCATATACATTATCATTTGCACTAAGGGTGATATCGTGCCATTGCATCTACATTATCATGTGAGAAAGAGTGTAAAGCACGAAGGGTGATGTCATGCCATTTCATTTACATTATCACGAGAGGATGAGAGTAAAAGCACGAAAAGTGATACCGTGCCATTTCATTTACATTATCATGCTTTCATTTATATTATCATGTAAGGATAAGAGATAAATGCACGAAGAGTGTTGTCGTGCCAATTGATTTGACCTACATTCATATATTTGGTGAGGATGAGATAAATGCACGAAGGGTGTTGTCGTGCCATTCGATTTGATATCTTGAGTACATTTCTCACACTATGAAAGTTATGAATTTACTACCGTGATTTTTTCTGGTGATTCTTTTACTACTTCGCATATTTATTTTTATTATGATCATGTGAGGATGAGAGTAAAATCACGAATGGTGATGCCATGCACTTACATTTATCTAATATGGAAAGGATGGGAGTAAAAGCATTAAGGGTGATATCGTGCGAGTTTGTTAAATTCATTGTTTTACTTGATATTTAGTAATGTGAATTTTGACTTAGTGGTTTCGTTGCCCTTTTTGGAAAGGGGTTTACTTATGATTCTTTATTTACTATTTCCGTCTATTGTCCCCTATACTTGCCACTATCCCGTTGTTTAATTTGGCTCTTTACTTGTTATTCCTTTATATATATATATATATATNTCACTAATTCATCGAGGTTAGTCAATATTTATTGAGTACATGGGGTCGGTTGTACTCATGCTACACTTCTGCACCTTGCGTGCAGATTTTGGAGCGAGAATTACTGTTTATGGCGGGAGCTGGCATCGAAGATGTACCTGCGTTCTGGTTATAGCTGTCACTTGTCCTCGATAGCTTTAGATTTTGCTAATTTATTTATGTAAACTCCGAACATATAATGTATTTATTTCGTACCAATTTTTGTAAATTCTAAGTTTTAGAAGCTCATGATTTGTACTACCAGTCAATGGGTTATTGTATAAATGTTCAAATAATTCTTTACTATTTTCTTATAAATCTCATTTGGATTGTGTTGACTGTTAGTTGGCTTACCTAGCAGGTCGAGTTAGGTACCATCACGACTAGTGAATTTTGGGTCGTGACATTATATCTCAATTTTGAGGGTGTTTGTTGAAGATTAGAGTTGATTTTGGTTGGATGTTAGATTGAAACCCGAAAGAAGAAGAATACATGACATACAATATACATACTGAATTATATTTAAATTGTATTAAAGTTGTATGTAAATTGTATTTAAGTTGTATTCTGTTGTAGTTATATATATTTTTATTTGAATATTTTATGAAAGTTGAAAAATAGTTGTATAGTGGAAAGAGGTTGTAGAGCATGCGAAAAAGGAGAGGAGAGAAAAAAGGAAATGGGTGTAACTGAATCCACTAATTTAAGGTATTAATAAATGATTGTATATAAATGGTAAGCAAATCTTATTTAGAGCGGGTAATATACAAAATTAAGATAATTTTGATAAATAAGTTTCAAAGATTGTATAGGAATGAAGAAATTATAGCACAATTAATATGAAATATCAAACAGTAATTTCAACAAATATTATCTACAGAAAGAGAAAAAGAAAAGAAAAAGAGAGTATATTTTGACTGAAGCTTCAAACAGTAATAGACATTTTAATCGCTAGAAATTGAAAAATAGTCATAGTTTCAAAAGTAATCGAAATTTAGCCACTTTTCATGTATAGATAAATCTGAACGAAAACACTATTCAAAATCCAGAAAATATTCCAGCATAATATACTGGAGTTCCAGCATAATATACTGGTCCAGCATAATATGTTGGAAGTTCATACACATGTGCTCTAATCTCCAGTATATTATGCTGTAACTTTTCGTGTGTTGGAATTCCAACATAATATGCTGGAAGTTCATACACAGGTGCACCAATCTCCAGTATATTATGCTGTAACTTTTCGTGTGTTGGAATTCCAACATAATATGCTGGAAGTTCATACACAGGTGCACCAATCTCCAGTATATTATGCTGGAACTTTCCATGTTGCAATAAAATAGTGACTATTTTTCAATGGCTTTGCAAACGCTGGCTATTTTTCAATTATCAGTCCGAAAACTAGCTAGCCTGTGCTATTTTCACCTTTGGATAGAGTGCATCTTTTCTCTACCTTTTCTGGAAAATTTCATGACCTTAATTAACGAGTTGCTATACTTTGAAGCATTTTTCTCAATAATTAAAAAATAATAATAAAAAAAAGGCTTAACAGATCATTGAGAAGAAGGATCTGGGACTAAAATGGTAAGGTATCAGGCGGCGGCAACAACAACAACAATCACCCAGTATAATCCCACTAGTAGGGTCTGGAAAGGGTAGTTTGTACGCAGACCTTACCCCTATTCTGGGGTAGAGAGGCTGTTTCCGATAGAAACTCGGCTCTCCTCCCTCCAAGAACTCCCCACCTTGCTCTTGGGGTGACTCGAACTCACAATCTTTTGGTTGGAAGTGGAGGGTGCTCACCACTAGAGCAACCCACTCTTGTCTAAGGTATCAGGCAAGTTGTTTCAATTATTTCAAGCTACATCTAATAATATACCTTAATGCGTCCCATCCAAATGATATTAAAGTTAGATTTAGGATTAATGAATTTTTATGTTCTGGCTATGAAACCTAGCTCCAATAAATATATGGTTAGGCAAAGGTGTGATAACTAAAATATTACATGTTCAAAAAATTTGTAATCATTGGAATAATTAATCATCAATCATTTATACAGTACAAGTAATACATAAGAAAAGTCAGAGCCATTTATCAGTTACAACAACCATGAAACTATAGAGCATCCAAAGAATAGGTCTGAAACAAGTATGATGTTATCTTCTTGTAGTCACCAATTTGTGTGCCTGTATTTGGATCAACAAGGTAAGGCACCTGCAAAATGAATTTGACTTCAATTTAATTTCCACTAGCAAAAAGCTGTCTGATAACATATTCCAAGTGCTTAACAAGGAGGGCCCTAGAAATGCAGGTAATAACATAGCAACTAAGCAGAATGATGATAAGTACTTAACAAGAGGAAGTGGTATAAATGGGGGAGGTCAAAAAGTTCCCAAACAAGGGAATGGTTAACTGACTTTGCTGGAATGTAAGAGGGCTAAACAGCCCAAGTAAGCAAAAGGAAGTTAAATTCCTTTGCAATAAAGAATGGGTAGGATTAATTGGATTGTTAGAAACAAAAATAAAAAGTAACAAGATTGAAGTTATGGCAGGGAATCTATTTGGAGGATGGCCTTATACTACAAATCTAGATAGTCACTATAATGGAAGAATATGGATCACATGGAAGCCAGACTACTACACTGTGAGACCAATAGACATTACAGCTCAGGTTGTCACTTGTGCTGTCCAACATATACCATCAAGATTGGAGTTTATTATGTCGTTTGTTTATGCTTTTAACACTAGAGAGGGAAGGAAGGAACTATGGAGCACATTGGAGAAATATAGCATGGTGTGTAAGCAACCATGAATAATATCAGGAGACTTTAATTCAGTTCTGACTGCAGATGATTGTGTGGGAGGCAACCCCATAACATGGTCAGAGGTTGTAGACTTCCATCAATGTTTGGAAACTTGCGGATTAATTGAGCTTCCCCATATAGGACAAAGATACACAAGGAATGATAGAAGCAGTAGTGGACAGAGGATTTTCTCAAAGATTGATTGGGTTTTCATCTACAATGAATGGCTAGACACAATGCCATTAAGTAAGTCGAATTATCTCCCAGAAGGTATAAGTGATCATAGCCCAGTAAAGATCACATTCCCGGAGGAAAAGCAAAGGTACAGGAAGTCATTCCAATTCTATAATGTTTGGGCCACGCATCCTCAGTTCAAAGAGAAGATAGCAGGGTGGAACATGCAGATACAAGGCTGTAAAATGTTGCAGGTGGTCAGAAGACTTAAATGTATGAAAAGAGGGTTGAAAGAACTAAATTCAAAGTCTTGTAGGAGCATCATTGCAGAATCAGAGCAGGATAGAGAGAAGCTCAGGCAAGCCCAAGAGTTACTCCAATCTGATCCTCTGAATGTGGCCTTCCAAGAATTGGAGAAAGAGAGATACACCAAATTTAGACAATCCTCTTACATAGCTGAAATGCACCTGCAACAGGCAAGTAAGGCTAGCTGGGTGAAACTAGGTGACGCCAATACAAAGTATTTCTACTCAGTAATCAAACATAGGAAGTTGAAGCAGGATACCACTCAATTAAAGGATGCAGCAGGTAACTGGCAGACTGATCCTGACATAATTGCAAGTATTTTAGTTGACTACTATAAGGAACTGCTAGGGAGGAGAAGCAATTATAGAATTAAGGCATTTGGAAGTATACTGAAGCTTGGGCCAATGTTGGACACTATACAACAGCTCAAACTACTTGAGCCATATACTGAGAAGGATGTTAAAAAGGCTTTTTTCCAGAATGATCAAAATAAGAGTCCAGGTCCAGATGGATATGGTAGTGGTTTCTTCAAGGCAGCCTGGGACAAAGTAGGCAGAGACATTACTGCTGTTGTTCTGAAATTCTTTCATAATGGCAAACACCTGAAGCAGGTAAATTCTACCAACATTGCTTTAATACCAAAGACTGCAGCACCCGAAAATGCTAGTCAGTACATGCCTATATCATGTTGTAATGCCCTATACAAGGGCATATCAAAATTGATTTGCACAAGACTGAAAGATGCAATAAATGCTATTGTTGCTGATAACCAGTCTGCCTTTGTGCAAGGTAGATCCATGATACATAATGTTTTGATTTGCCATGACCTCCTGAGGCACTATGGAAGGAAAACTACACCAAGATGCATGATGAAGATTGACCTATGATATGAAGTTTATGATATGGTAAGCTGGGAGTTCGTAGAGAAAGTTCTAAGAGGTTATGGATTTCCTGAAAGATTCACACACTAGTGATGACATGTGTGACTTCTCCAACCTTTACCATAAAAGTGAATGGAGAAGGCTATGGCTATTTTGAAGGAAAAAGAGGATATCCAGATTATGCTTTCCACCAAATGTGTAAGCAAGTACAGCTCTCACACTTGATTTTTGTTGATGACCTAATGATCTTCTGTAAAGCAAACACTAAATCTATCAAAAGAGTTATGGAGGCCTTAGCACATTTCAGTGATGTCTCTGGATTGGTTGCAAACATGGAAAAATCCAGCATTTTCATGGCTGGGATAGATGATCAAATAAGGGGTCAATTACTTGACATTACAGGATTTACACAAGGTACCTTTCCCATAAGGTATCTTGGACTGCCTCTCTCATCTAAGAAGTGGAACAAATTGGAATGTCAGCAACTAGTGGACAAAATCACTGAAAGAATCAACACTGTGTACTCTAAGCAATTGTCCTATGCAGGTAGACTTTTTTTTTGATGAAGGTGTTGTATTACTGGCATCAAGAAGATGCAGATAGTACAAAAGAAGATATGTTAGCTCCAATACATCATGTTCTATTCTAATAGGGAGCTAACCAGAAAAATAGGCCATCAGGACTGGCTCATTGAGCCAATAAAGTCTAGAAAAGGAATAACATTGTTTACAGGGGAGATATTACTCCAATTAAAAAGATACACCAGACATCTAGCTTTCAAGAAGTGATTAGGACTTGAAATGCCATCAAAACATCTTCGATTCATTTCTGTCCAAAGACACCAAAATATGCACCCTGGGACCATTTTCCAGATGCTTTTGATGGCCTTGCTGACTTTCCAAAAGCTCCAACTTTCAATTGCTTCCTTAATGCTCTGAGGTAGAGTCCAGTTGATACCAAAAATTGAGAAGAACATGCGCCAGAGATCAGTAGCCACTGTGCAATGCAAAAATAGATGGTTGATTGATTCTGAATTTAACTGGCACATGTGGCATCTATTCACAATCTGGAAGCTCCTCCTACAAAGATTGTCTTGGGTCAAAATAGCACCTTTAAGAGTCGTCCATGCAAAACAGCTGACCTTTGTAGGCAGTTTGGTTTTCCAGATTAGCTTCCAAGGCCACATGTCAATAGCTTCATTCGATGCACCAAGTTTGTTGTAGCCTTCCTTCACTGTGTATGCACCTTCCTTAGAAGTGCCCCATCTTAGCTTATCTGCGTGCTGGATTCTCATTGTAAAGTTTGCTAACCTTCCAAGTAGATCCACCACCCCTTCTATCTCCCAGTCTTGCATATTTCTCCTGAAAAGGACCTCCCAAGTGTTGTTGGATCTATTCTGTGCTACTGTTGAGTTAGGATCACTAGCTAGTTGGAATAAATATGGATAAGTTTCTTGTAGTGTGAAATTCCCTAGCCACTTGTCCTTCAAAAATTTCACATGTGCTCCATTACCAACTTTGAAGGACACTTCTTGTTGGAAGACTTCCTTTAGGCTGTTAATGTGTTTCTAGGGCCCAACCCCATGAGGAGCTCTAGTGGTTCTAGTACTAGCAGTATTATTTTCCATTCACAGTTTCTGGGGATCTACTTTCATTCTCCCCCAAAGCATCCTCAAAGAAGTTGACAGAAAATGCAGGGACTACTTGTGCGGTGGTACAGTAGAGAAAAAGAAGATTTCATTAGTGGCATGGGAAAAAGTTTGTAGACCAAAGAAATATGGGGTATTGAATGTCAAAAATTGCAGGGATTGGAGCATGACATCAGTTGGTAAATTGCTATGGCAACTATCAAGAAGGATTCCCTGTGGGTGAAGTAATTTCATGGCATTTACATGAGAGCAGATACTAATATTTGGACACATAAACCACCTCAAGATTGCAGTTGGTATTGGAAGAAGGTAAATGCACTGAAAGATATCATGCACGGATGGTATACTCAGGGAAAATATAATTTGAAAGAGAATGGGCAATACTCAATAACTAATAGCTACAATGTACTGGTGGGACAACAAGGTCTACTAAAGATAGCTGAATTAATATGGACTGCACTTGCCCAACCAAAACACAGATCTGTCATTTGGTTAGCTGTGCAGGGTAGGCTACTGACTAAGGCAAGATTGAGACATCTTCATTTCCCAGTAGAAGATGATATCTGTTGTCTTTGTTCCAGCCAAGCTGTGGAGACTTCATTGCATCTGTTTGCAGAATGTGACTGGATAGGAGAGGTGAGAGAAGGCATTCAACAATGGACAGGAATTCCTATACGAAAAGGAGTTCACAGGATGCTAGAAAGAGTAAAGAGAAGGAAATGGCAACAATTTCAAAAGGAGTTAATTGCAGCCATCTGGGGAACAGTGATCTATCATGTATGGAGAGCTAGAAACTGTTAGAGAAATTAATGTAAATAGCGATGTAGTGCTGTCACAGATCAAAAGAGAGATTGCACATAGAATAGAGCTACTCCAGAATTCTAGGAAAGCTAGAGGTTGCCATAGTTTGATACATAGACTACTTTTTAACTAGCTGATATGTCGGAGGCATGTTCTTCCTAACTTTGGAAGAAATGTGCTCTTTAGGTGTATTTGTTTTTTTGCGAGTTATGGTATTATTTACATTTTTACCAAATAAAAAATAAAAATGGGGAAAACAGTTTATGTCAAAACTACTCTTTTGAAGCTAGAAATATTATGAGCAATGATGCACTCTCTTGATTTAGCTTGTTATGAAACATAAAGAAATAAAGTAGAACGAGTTGCAACAAAACGATCACATCATATTCCTAAAGCAATCTAGCCAAAGTCATGATTCTTCGGATCTTTTGCAAGAGAAAACGTCAATTACAGATGGTGTTTCGCTGATGCTGCCATGATCGTGGGTTCAGTTTACTTAGAGGCGGAAAGCCTAGAAGAGGCCTAGAAGTCATAAGGAATAGGCACTGTACCGGCAGCGAACTCTAAGGTTTGGCTTTTTCTTTTATTGACTTATTTAGGTATTTTGTACTAGATGGTAGCAGATATGACCAATACTGACATAGAAGAGGGATAGACTATAAATCAGTCAATTATATATTACTCCCAACTAGTTGGAATCAACCATATGAATCCTTTGCATCCATTCCACTCTCTTCGAGACTAACGTGGCGGCGCGTGCATAGGACATGTTCCGAAAATTCAATGTTCATCGAATTCATCAAGTTTGACTATTTAGGCAGTCTGTCAACCTACCGCAACCCTCTTATAAAGTGACTAAGCGAAGCTCCATTAGCAGAGCTATAGAAAGGTGATAGACTGTAGGTTAACAAGAACATCGAAAAGGAAACCTAACCTCCTTTCCACCAGATATTTGGATGAGTAACTCTTCACGTGCTGATCCTTCACCTATGTTATTCAGTATATAAGGAAGCTCCAGTTCACAAAGTGCTTCTCGCACTATCCGAGCATACTGTGACAGGAAAAAATTGAAAAAAGGAAGGAAACAATTTTGTCAATTTCAAAAATGTTATAGGTTTTCCTGGGATTTCCTAAGTATTTAAAGATAGCATAGATAATAGTGCATTTAGTCAAACCATGAATTGCATATGTGCTAATCTACATATTGCTTTTCATGATCAAAGGCTTATGTGAGGCAAATACGATTCAAATATTTATAGAACCTGAGCAATTATGAGAAGCTCTCAATCAATTAAATAAGCACATTTTACACAAGCTTAGCTATATGTTTCATTGGTCATTAACATTCGATACGAAGTCAATTTTTCAGGAAATAGCAGGTTCATGACTAAAGGGCCTGTATAATTTTATGTGCAAATAAATCTCGTAGCTTGTCCAGTAAAAGCTACAGCAGATCATCCAAATGACTAGTGAATGGAATGATGTGATTGGACCTTTCCTGGTAGGGATTATAAGAAGAATAGTTTCTGATAATCATAAGTGATGGCCGCCACAATATTTTCAACTTTAGCCAGTTTGTATCTGATTATCTGAAGTCTCAAATTAAATTATCACCTACGTTCATAGTGCAAAGAAAATCTGCCAAGTTACAAAATGAACAGTCAATATATTCTCTGAAATAAGCATTGATTAAGTAGTAGTCTTACAGGATTATTCTCATATGAGAAGAGTTCCAGCTTTTTAGGTGGTGGCTCTTTCCTTGATCTATCCCATAATGCCATTCCTCTTCCTGCTCGAAGAAGAGTTGGCATCCATCCTGTTACGATGGTACTGTATTTTGCCAATATATAAGTTTATGTTAAAATCATAAACAATCAATCTACATTTGTCTTCAAGCCATAAACTGGAATTCAGACTCCTGCAATATTTAGCATCACATACTTTGAAAGGAAATAATACCATCATCCTAAAGTATGAGTGACTACTGTCTTAATCAGCTGGTTTACATTGCATTGTTTCACTGCTCAATGATGTTTATAGAGACCGTGAAATTTCTCCTGTTCTGTGTGATGGTAAAACACTCTTATATGTATGCAGAAACTATCCTCAGGTTTTAGTCTGAGAAATTATAGCAGTCCAGATGGTAGAAACCTAAATGTTTTTGGCAGTATGCATAATTGTTTGTGTTACTAAGTGAAAGAAGTTAAAAAGAACTTGCTAACATATAGATATTCACTTAAAGATGCATCCATTCCTCACCAGTAGGGGTAGCAAACGAGCGGGTCGGGTCTGATATAGGACAGGTCGAAAACGGGTAATGAAACAATAGATAAATTATCCGACCCAACCCATATTTAATGCGGATAAAAAATGACTTCTTGAATATGATCACTTTTGGGAGAATTCCTAGTCTCCCAAACTTGAGGAAACCCCAATTAGAGATTTTACAAATGTAAAAGTTAAACCCATTAGTTATCCATTGGTTATCCATTTAGAAATTTTCTAAATGGATAATATGAAAAGAACAAACCCAGCCGTAAAAGAAATAAAAGAAAGAAGACAAAAGCTATAAAAGTAGACAAAACAAAAGAAAGAAAAGTCAAAAAGAGATGAAAATATGATGTAAGCACGTACGTCGGCATTCTTATGATGTAAGCGCTTACATCGGCATTCTTATGATGTAAGCGCTTACGCCAGCAGGGCATTCAAATGCCTATAAAAGGGGTATGCATTTTCATTTCCAGATCATCCCTCAACTTCTTCTTTCTCTTCAATTAATAAAGAGCTATTTTTTGTGTGGTCGTGGAGTAGGCAAAAATTACCGAACCACGTAAATCTTGTGTTGTCTTGTCTTGTGCAATTTATTGATTTTCTCTTTTAAATATTTTTTCCCTTCTATTAGCCTGACACGCTTCCCAACATCTGGTATGTGTCCAAACTTGCAGCCCAATTAGTCCTACATGAAGTCACGTTTTTATAATATAAAAAGGACTTACTTGATGTCAAAAAAAAGGTACAATAGTCATGCTAGAAGTTGAGTGCAAGTTGGTGCCAAGTTGCTTGCAAATTTCCTTCAAGATTTCCAAGATTTTATCCAAGATTGGTTTTGGACTTTCAAGATCCTATCCCAAGGTACTTGGACTTTTTGTCCAAAGTAGTTAGGACTTTCTTTCTTTTTCAAGATTTCTAAGATTTCCAAGATTGATTTTGGACTTTCAAGATCCTATCCTAAGGTAGTTGGACTTTTTGTCCAAAGTAGTTAGGACTTTCTTTCTTTTTCAAGATTTCTAAGATTTCCAAGATTGATTTTGGACTTTCAAGATCCTATCCTAAGGTAGTTGGACTTTTTGTCCAAAGTAGTTAGGACTTTCTTTCTTTGTTTTTGTGGTAGAATTTTGTGACTCCCTCTCTATATAAAGGGGTGTCGTCTTTGTTTTTAAGGCTACAATATCAACAAAAATTGTGAGATTTTTCTTGCACTCTTGTGTATGGCTACTCTTGGATTTATTCTTCAACCTTCAAAAATCAACTTAAGGTGGTAAGATTAAACCTTTTTCGAAATCTTAGATCACTTCTAGGTATTCAAGAAAGGTGATAAGTTTAGGCTTATTTTTGTTCTTGTTATTCCAAAAGGTCGGGTTTCACAATCTATCTCTTATTTTTAATTTTCTACCAAAGGCGATTAGTTCTACGTTAGCTAATTGTTGTTGCTAGGATTCAACTTCAAGAATAGACTTCTTGAATTCAAGAAACTCTTTCTTGAATTCAATCTATCTTTAATTTCTGTCTTCTTTTTTCGTTACCCTAAGTCTTTCATTTCAAACTCCTCCGCCAGTTGTTGCTTAACCAAGTTGATCTCATTTATGCTAGATCCTGCAATTAGCATATCATCAACATACAACAGTAAAATGATATAGGATTCATCAAGATTTTTGATATAACAACAATGGTCCATCTCACATCGTGTGAAACCATTGTTATGCATGAATCCATCAAATTTCTTGTACCATTATCGGGGAGCTTGTTTCAAACCATACAAACTCTTCTTCAACTTACACACAAGTTTTTCTTTACTAGAAACTTGAAAACCTTCAGATTGCTTCATGGAGATGTCTTCTTCAAGGTCACCATGCAAGAAAACATTTTTAACATCTAGCTGCTCCAAATGCAAACTTTTTTCAGCTATGATACTTAGCACCAATCTAATAGTAGTTAATTTGACTACAGGAGAGAAGATCTCGGTGTAGTCAATTCCTTCCTTCTGCTGAAAGCCTTTTACTACTAATCGTGCTTTGTATCTCTTCTTACCATCATGCTCTTCCTTGACTCTGTACACCCACTTGTTCTGCAATGCCTTCTTTCCTTTTGGTAACTCCGTAAGTATCCATGTTTTATTCTTTTGAAGAGAATTCATCTCTTCTTTCATGGCTAGCTTCNCTATCTCTCCTTACCATCGTGTTCTTCCTTGACCATGTACACCCACTTGTTTTGCAATGCCTTCTTTTCTTTTGGTAACTCTGTAAGTATCCATGTTTTATACTTTTGAAGAGAGTTCATCTCTTCTTTTATGGCTATCTTCCACTTATGAGAGTCTATCACTTGCATTGCTTCAACAAAATGCTCTGGTTCTCCAGCATCAGTCAGAAGTAAATAGTGAAGAGAGAGGGTTAACCTATCTGGAGCATTCGTGACTCTTTTAGATCTCCTTAATGTAGGTTCAGGATTAACTGATCCCGAATTTGATTCAAGACCTGACTCCAGATCTGGTTCTCCATCTGATTTTATCTCTGGTTCTGGTTCTGGTTCTGGTTCTGGTTCTGATCCAGATTCAACTTTTGGTTCTTCATCTTCAATTTCAGAATCAGTTGTAATCCCTCTAGACACTTCATTTTTTGAGACTTCTTCTAACTGAACTGTTTCACATGTCTGTTTGCTGGTGTTGGTTGGTTCTACTTCAAGCTTGTCCTTGTACATCACATTTTCATTAAATGTGACATTCATGTGCTTTAGGATCTTTCTATTCTGATCATCCCAAAATCGATAACCAAAATTATCACCACCATAGCCAATAAAGAAACATTTCTTGGCCTTAGGATCAAGCTTATCTCTATCATTAGAGTTTACATGCACATAAGTAACACAACCAAAAATTATCAAATGTGAGAGTTACCTCCTTTCCTGTCCATACCTCCTCAGGAATTTCAAAATTCAGCGGTATAGAGGGTCCCCTGTTTATGAGGTAAGCTGTCGTGTTAATAGCCTCGACCCAAAAATACTTTGGCAATCCAGAATGTATTCTCATACTTCCGGCTCGTTCATTCAGGGTTCTGTTTATCCTCTCAGCAACGCCATTTTGCTCCGGTGTTCCAGGAAATGTCTTGATCATTCTTATCCCATTCTCCAAGCAGAATGCTTTGAACTCTTGACTATCATATTCTCCTCCGTTGTCAGACTTTTTAACTTTAGGTTTGTCTGATTTTCAACTCCAGCTTTCCATCTTTTAAAGGTAACAAACACATCAGATTTATTTTTCAGAAAATAAACCCATACCTTTCTTGTGGAATCATCAATAAAGGTGACATAATAGCGTGAGCCTCCAAGAGAAGTTACAGAAGCTGGTCCCCACACATCTGTATGCACTAGTTCCAGCTTCTCTTTCTTTGGCGTATTTCCCGCCATTGAGAAACTCTCTTTTGTTTCCCGTAAATGCAATCTTCGCACAAACCTAATTCAACATGCTTCAGGTTTGACAACTTTTCTTTGAATACCAACAACTTCATTCCCTCTCACTCATATGCCCGAGCTTCCGGTGCCACAATGTTGTATCACGACCATGATCAATTGTTGCTATAGTATCTCTCTGTATTGCAGTTACATACAGTGTTCCCTTCTTGAAGCCTCGTGCCACAACCAAAATTCCTTTGGTTATCTTCTACGATTCATTACCGAATGTTGTTGTATATCCTTCACTGTCAATCTGACCTATAGATATCAGATTTTTCTTGAGGCCAGGAACATGTCGGACATTTTGCAATTTCCATAGCGTGCCTTGTGAAGTGTTTATATGAACTTCACCTTTCCCGACAATGTCCAAAGGTTCGCCGTGTGCTAGATAAACCTTCCCAAATTTTCCAACAATATAATTATGCAATAATTCTTTGCATGATGTAGAGTGAAGGGATGCACCTGAGTCCAGAATTCAAGATTCGACTGGACTGTCTGCACAACAAATTAGTGCACAACCGACTTGTTCAGCAGCAATTGCATTTGCTAAATTATCATCCTTGTATTGATCATGCTTCTTCTTCTTTGGTTCTCTACATTGACTACTGTAGTGACCCTTTTTATCGCAATTCCAACACGTAATGTCTTTACGATTTTTGGATTGTCCTATTCTCCTTGACTTTGATCTGCCACGACCATGACTTAGTCCTCTTTGGCTGCTTCTCCCCCTGCTCTATCCTAGGGAATCACTTGATTCTCTGCGGCGAATAACTTCACTTAGAACCAAGTCTCTAATATCATCCAATTTGAGTTTGGTACTTCCCGATGAACTGCTAATTGCAGTTATTGTTGAAGACCAACTCTCCGGTAGAGATGATAGTAGAATCAATGCCCTGACTTCGTCATCGAATATTATATTGACAGAACTCAACTGAGTTAATATTACATTAAACTCATTGATATGTTCCGTAATAGATACCTTCTGTCATCTTTAAGTTGAACAATCGACGCATCAAATAGACTTTATTTGAAGCATATGGTTTCTCGTACATATTTGATAACGCCTTCATCAGGCCTGCAGTGGTCTTCTCATTAATGATGTTAAA